TCTGTTGTGACAGATTTAGTGTTTTATGTTTTATTTCTCCCCACTCATCCCCCTCAGATTTGTTCTATTTTTTCATAGGAATTTGTACAGACACTAGTGTTTTTGAAGCAAAAGCATTTTAAACAGTGAAACTGAAAAAAAGCGGAGTTTTTTTTTCTTTGCAGGCGTAAAAAGTAAAGGGAAAAGAAACTACAATGAACACGTTTTAATGTTCAGAATTGTGGATAAATAAAAACAAGCCACACAAAAAAGACCTGAAGTTATCATTTCAACATGGTGGAAAATGGTCATCGAAAGAAGGAACCATTGTTTCTATCCTGTAGATGTTTCTGATTTTGAGAAGTGACACTTAGTTGTTGCCATTTTTTGTTTCCAGAAAAATAAACCACAACTATTTTGTATTGAATACTGTTTCAGCTTTGAGTATTTTTATATGAATTCAAGGCCAAACAACTGCATTAATATAATAATATAATATTAATGCTCTCATGAGGCTTTAATACAGCTTCACATTTTAGGATGTTTTGATAAAATGTAGACGATGTTTAAAATTCTTAATAACGGTGTGAATGTTTATGAAGCTTTCACACTATTGTGGTCCATTTTTCTTTTGTATGTTTTTCAGCATCTTGTTCAATAATTTAAGTGCTAATACAACAAATCATCAAAACGTTCAGCTCTTTCAGGACAATCCTGCTGTGACTTTTTTATTGGTGCAACTTTAGCTTTTTGAAATATTTAGCCTTTTCTGCCATATTTTTCTCATAGAAAATGCATTGAGCTCATTCAAATCTTTAGATGTGTTTACAACCTTTTACTGCTCCTTTCACATTTGTTCTGGTTCAGCTTCTTTCAGCTTTCTTGTGCAAATTTACCCTTTTTTCTTCAGTTACTTTCAGCTGTTTTTTCAGCTGTTTTGTGAGCCTAAGTTTAAGCATTTTCTGCTATTTCAGCTTCTATTAAGCTGTTTTATGTTAAATTTAGCTTTTTAAGCTAATTCCACATTATTTGCACTCGTTCAACTTTTTTCAGCATAATTCAGCAAAAAATGTGCTCTTTCCACTTCCTTCTGGCAATTTAAGCTTCTTTCAGCCTTTTTTTAAGCTACTTTTCAGGGGTTTTTTTGGCAAATTTTTGCTTTTTTCAGATAATTTCCACGTTCTTCTCATTTCTGCTTCTTTCAGCTTAATTGGGCAGATGTGTTCTTTCTGCTTTCTTCTGCTAATTTCAGCTTGTTCTACCTTTTCAGCTATGTTTTAGCATTTTTTAACTAATTTCAGCTGTTTTCTGAGAAATTCAAGTTTTTTGTGGTAATTTCTGTTTCAGCTTGTTATGCTCCTTTCAGCTTATTTCTGCTAGTTCCAGTTATTTCAGATACTATTTAGCTGTTTAATGCTAACTTTAGCTTTTTTTGGCTAATTCCACTTTTTTAAGCTCATTTCAGCTTTTTCTGCTTCCTGGGAGTTGAAGCTTTTTATTTATTGTTTGCTAATTTCAGCTTTTCAGCCAATTTACTAATTTTTGTGCTTTTTTCTGCTCATGTATAGCTAATTCAGCAAATATGTGTTCTTTCTTCTGGTAATTTAGGATTGTTCTTGCATTCCAGCTCCATTTCAGCTGTTTTTCAGCAAGTTCTCCTGGAATAAGCATTCACACTGCATTTTTGCAGGAAATACAATTTCTCTAGTTAGCTGATATTTTTTACTTAAATTATATTTATAATCATCTGACCAATCCCTACAAATATGGCAAGTGTTTTTTAAAGATTAGTTTTTTTTTTTCCCATAAAAATTTTTTTTACGCTGACTTCTAGGTTGCAGACTAAAACAAGGGCATTAGTGCAGAAAAGGTTTCCTCAAATCTAATTCTGCTCAAAGAATCTCGCATCATTTCAGATTTATAACATTTCTTGTTCTGGTTTGTTTATGTGAATTTGGGACAGTATCGAAACATCTGAAACTGAAAGACACGGGGTTTTAAAATGCTTCTAATGATTTTCTCATAATGTACCTTTTTTACACACACATACAATTAAAGAAGTCATCAAACCTGATGGTCCGCACATTTAACTTTATTGGTTCCACAAACCACTTTACAAGTTTTTATTGGTTCACAAATCAAAGTGTGACAAATGGGTTCTCAGTCTGTGTCTTGCCTGAAGACGTGTTGACATGTAAAGAGCCAAATGTTCTGCAGGAGCTCCAAACAAATCTTAAAGAAAACCATTTAAACTTTTGTCTGCTCCACCGACGGCAGTGGCTGAGAAGCAGCTGATCTAACACACTCCACGCTCACTGAGTATTTTCTTTGTTTACTTTGTAGGTTGCAGACATAAGCTGTTCTTGTGCAGACCTACAGGATGAAGTGAAGCTCTTTGAGTTATACAGTTTGTAAATGCTAGAAGATAAAATCAGCTACAGAAATGCATTTCTTGCGAAAATACAGTTTGAATGCTTATTGCTGAAGAACTTGTTAAAAACAGCTGAAATTAGCTAAGAACATGTTGAAATGTAGCTGAAATGGAAGAACAGGCCTAAGTTAGCAGAAGGAAAGCAGAATGAACACATATTTGCTGAATGAGATTTAAACAAACAGAAATGAGCACAAAAATTGGGAAATTATCTATAAAAACTGAAAAAAGCTGGAAAAAAAGCTGAAATAGCATAAAGAAGCTTAAACTGTCAGAAAAAAGTGGAAGGAGATGAAATGAGCTAAAAAATGTGGAATTGGCTGAAATAGAAATAAACTGACATTTGCACAAAGAAGTTAATTAAGCTGAAAGTAGCAGAGATTACTATGAAAAACTTGAATCTATCTTAAAACGGCTCAAATTAGCTAAGAAGGTAGCTGAAAAGGTAAAACAAGCTTAAATTTGCAGAAGAAAACAAAAAGAACAGGTTTGTCCAATTCGTCTGAAAGAATCAGAAATGAGCAAAGAAAAACAGAAATGATCTGGAAAAAAAGCTGAAATTAGCACACACACAAAAACTGCCAAAAAGTAGCTAAAAAAGCAGAAATAAGCTTAAATTAGCTGAAAAAGTAGAACAAGCTTAAATTGGCTTAAGAAAGCAAAAAGAACACGTTTACCCAATTAGACTGAAGGAAGCAAACATTTAGCAAAACATTTTTTTAGAAATTATCGTGAATAAAGCAAAAATTAGCAACAACAACAAAAAAAAGCCGAAAAGTAGCTAAAAAGGCAAAAAGAAACTTGAATTAGCAGAAGAAAGTGGAGAGAGCAAATTTTTGCTGAATTTGATTGGAAAAAAGTTTAAATTCGTGTAAAAAATGTGGAAGTAGCTGAAAAAGCTTAAATTAACATAAAACAGCTATATAGTAGCTGAAATAGTGGAAAAGCAGAAACTTGCAGAAATAAGCTGAAAGGAGCATAACAAGTTGAAATCAGCAGAAAGAAGTTAAAAGAAACACAAATGTAGTTCGCAGAAAGAACCTGAAAGGAGCGCAAAACAGCTCAATGTGAAAGGAGCAATAACAGGCTGCAAACAGATATAAAGGATTGAAGAATGTAAAACGAGCTCAGTTAAGATGAGGGAAAAAAGTGGCAGAAAAGGCTAAATATTTCAAAAAGCTAAAGTTGCACCAATACCAAAAGTCATAGTTGGATGTCCTGAAAGAGCCGAACATTTTGATATGAGTTATTGAAGTAGCTTAAAAACTACGGGATGAGAATTGCGCTGAAAACTGTACAGAAGACAAATGGATCACAATAAACATTTACACAATAAGGGTTTCAAAGATTTAAATGAAAGTGAGTTACAGCTGGCAGCATCTAAAATAACTTGCACGTCTTTTGTTACGGTAAAAATAAAATACATGTTTCAATAATGTTTTAAATATCAGGAGATATTAAAATGGCCTTGTTCTTGTCAGGTTTGTGAAATGGGTAAACACGAAGTTAACGCAACCCTGATTCCCAAAATGTGTAAAATGTAAATAAATAAAAAAATTTAATGATTTGTAAATCTCATAAACCCATATTTTATTCACAACAGAGCGTAGTTTAAACTTTTGACATGTTAAGAAATAATAGCCTTTTTTAAGGTAATTTTGAATCTTATTTTAGCAACACGAGTTCAAACAGTTGAGACAGGAAGCGTCTTCTCGTCCTTTACCAACAGTCTGTAAACATCTGAGGAGCTGTTCAGCAGTTCTGGGTCTTTGGTGGATTATTATTATTATTTCCATAATGCTTTTCTATTAGAGCTCTGGACATGGAGCAGACTGGTTCAGCTCTCACTCCTCAGCTGTGAAGCCATGTTGTAGTAATGGACGCAGTATGATGTCAACATTGTGCTGGAATATTCAAGGCCTTCCCTGGAAAACATGGTCTAAAACCTGCGTCTGCTTTGATGGTGCTGTTCCAGATGTGTAAGATGCCCATGCCAGAGACACTAATGCACCCCCATATCATCAGAGAGGCTGGTTTTTGAATTGCGCATTAACATTTCCTGTTCTTTTTAGTATGGAGGATGTGACGACGATGGTTTCTAAACAGAACACCACATTTTGATTCATCTGACCACAGAACAGCTTAAAACATTTTAAAAGAGCTTCGGACCAGAGAAGACGGCAGCGTTCCTGGTTGATGTTCACATATGACTTCCTCTTTGCATGGTAGAGCTTTAAGCAGCGTTTGGGGACGGCACGGTGAACTGTGTTTACAGTTTGTGGAAGTGTCCTTGAGCTCGCACAGTGAGGTCCAGAACAGAACCAGACCTGTTTTTAATGCGTGAGAGCTTGGCGATCACGGTGTAGACCTTCTGTCTTGTTTTTTTTGCGCACACACAGGTTTCTGCAGCTTACTGGAACCTTTTCATGCTATGAACTGTAGCTGACCGGATATTTAAAGTCTTCACGATTTTTCATTGAGAAATGGTTGGAAATTCTATTTTACACCCAGTTTTTGTCAGACCGGTGAACCCCTGCCCATCTTTACTTCTGACAGAGTCAGCTTCTCTAAAATGTTCTTTTTATATCTGCTCCTCTTACTGACCTGTTGCTAATTAATCTAAATGGTTTGAAACGCTGCCATTGAGTTTTTGTACCACGTAATTTTACAACCTTTTGTTGTCCTGGCCCACTTTTTTTGAGATGTGTTGCACCATAACTCCCCCCTGAATTGGCAGAACTTCTTCAATTAATTATATTTGTTTACTACATTGTGACCAATATTTAGGTTTATGAGAGATCTGTGCATTCTGTTTATTGACATTTTACTCAACGTCCCGACTTTATCAGAGTTGGGTTATTTTTAATCACGCTGGATGAACCCTACTTCTTTCAGCATGTATCTTATCTTTAGCAGTGCGTCAGGCTTTAAACTTCCTAAATTGTCACTGATTTAACCTCTTTCCTAAATGCAGCCATTTGCAGAGGCTCAAACTGCAGGTACATGCAAGCATTGTGCATCATCTGTAATATATTACAGAAAGAGTGGGATAACTTGACTAAATTATTTCCAGGTTAGCTTTAATTTCACAAAATAGACAGTATTTATGGTTATATCGTTATTTTGCATGCTCCTTATTCTGGAAGAAAAAAAAAACAATTAAAACACTTTTATATATTTATTTCTTACATTAAGAAAACACCATTTTCTGCTTTTTCAAGTTTTATTTCAAAGCAGAACGTCCAAGCAGCACATTTTAAAAGGCTTTCATTATAACAGAGTGCCTTCTAGACATTTATACTTCATTTTCCCGCAGAGGGAACTTGTGTGAGAATGTGTTGCAGCAAGCAGATTTTCCGTTCATGAAATGTGACGACGTTGCAACACGAACCGTTTTCTGCAGCCCTGAAACTTTAGGAACGACCAGCTCTTCGCTCTTTCACCAATGCTGAGTTCATGTTATCCACACCGAAGCAGGAGGTGATCAGAGAAGAGAAACAACCCCTAATAAGTCCTTTTTTTTTTTTTTTAACCACGTTTATTTATTTTTCGCATACTGTTCCCATACCTGGAGATATTAGGCGCCACAAGGCCTATTATTCCTTGAAGGAATGCACATCGTCCTCTGAGTTTTAGCTCAGGAGCATCTTCTGTGGAGAAATGAAGTTGTAGCTGTTTCAAACCTTAAAATAATATAACAGACTGTGTGATTTGAATGACTCTCAGCTACTACCACATCTAATTTTAGCGCAATATCTATAAAATTGATTGATGAGTTAATATTGATTAGCTGTAGCTGCCATCTTGGATCAGGTGGACCAAGCTAGATGTTCTACGTGTACATTTAATTATTACTTCTGGCAAGTTTCTTTAAAATGGTTCATGAGACATTTTGCTGACAGACACTTTTTTAAATAACAAAAAATCCTAAATCGGAATAAATGAAGTGCTTCCTGTTATGATGGTGAAGTAGCTATTTTAGTAGTGGAAAATATAACTAATGACATAAAGATTATGATTTTATTTTAGATAGAACTTCATAAAATGTCATAAAATCAGACGGACAGATTTATAACTTCTCCTAAAAACGTTTTCAGGGGGGAAAAAAAAGAAAAAAGTAAAGTTTCTTTTAAATCGTTTAGACAGAATGAAGTGGGAAACATCTCCAAACATTTTCAGCCTGAGGGCAGAACTGCACTCTGGGAGCTGTAGTCCGGACAGACTTTTTGAACTAGCCTGTAGTCCGTGCTGTAGAAAGACATGTAGACGCAGATGACCTGGAACGGTTTGGAACACATCCAGGTGATGTGGCTCTGGGTCTGCTCTTGGTCACACGTCTTTGACGGGTCGTAGTTGCACAGCATCACCTTCTTGCTGCGCTCCGTTTTCTCGTAGTCCACCCTGCAGTTGAAGGTCTTTGAGTCCTTGGGGTGGACCACGCTCTGGCGCTCCAGGTCGAATTCCACCCCTTTCACGGGCGGGACGAGGCTGACGGACACGTTGCCCACGCCCGTGGAGTTGTGGCGAAAGTAGACGCCAAGAGATCCGTTTCCATGATCCACGATCTTCCCCATGATCAGCAGGTTCAGTTTGACGGTTTTGATGTTGGAGTGGAAGTCTCCCCAGCTGAACGTCCTGGACAGTTTGGATATTCCACGAACCTTCATGATGGGCTGGAGCTTTGTCGTCCCGGATGGGTCTGCGGGAGGCTCTGAGGTGCCTTCAAACATTTCCAAAAGTCCCTGCTTTGACAGGGACATGGACAGACTGGAGTTCTGAGTCACGCTCCTGGTCTGAAGGTCCCAGATCTTTACAGAACCATCCTGGTTTTTGTGGAGTTGAGGCGATGCTGAGGTGCTGAAGGTGGAATGACCATGGAGACAGAGGACCAACTAGACAGAAAATGACGAGGAGATATTTAAAAATTAGGATTGCGTGCTGTTAAATCAATTCAGTTTATTTATATAACGCCAAGTCGCAAAAGAAGTCATCTCAGGCACTAAACAGAAACATCTGTACACATAAAAGTAATTTAATAACATTATTTATCTGAGGAGCAGACTGCTTTGAGTTTAACTTCATCACAGACTCTCATCTTGAGCAAGCATGAAGGCGACAGTGGAAAGGAAAAACTCCCTCATGAGGAAGAAACCTTTAGCAGAACCAGCTCAGGACAAGTGGAAATCTGCTTCGACCGGCCGGGTTTGAGAGGAACAGATACACAATGGCAGGTTGAGAATCACGTTGAGATAGAAATAGTATCAAATGAAAACTTTTCAGTTTTAACAATTTTAAGAAATTAGGTAAATTTGTCCTCCAGTAGTCTAAACCTATAGCAGCATAACAAGCCAACCCTAACTATAGGATTTATCATAAAGGAAAGTCTAAAGTCCAGTCTTAAAACTGGACATTGTATCAGCCTCACAGACAGAAACTGGAAGTTGGTTCCACAAGAGAGGAGCCTGATAACTGAACGATCTTCCTCCCATTCTGCTTTTGGAAACTCTAGGAACTGCAAGTAAGCCTGCAGTCTGAGAGTGAAGAGCTCTGTTAGGAAAATATAGAACAATAAGATCTCTAATATAAGATGGAGCTAGGTTGTTGAGGGCTTTGTAGATTAGAAGTAAGACTGTTAATGACTGTCAACTACCTCTACATCCAACTGCAGCTCCATATCTGTAAAACTGACTGAGCTGTCTATGTGTAGGCAAAGGTCAGCTGTGGCAGCCATCTTGAATTGGGTTCAAAAGCTGAAGCTACTCATTGAAATGTCATAAAGACAAGTCAAGTAACAAACTAACAAAACAATAACAAAGCCATGCATTTTGCTCCTTGGTTTGATTTTTAATTAATACAATTTTAAAATTGGAAGCAAAATTTGTGACTGTCTTTCAACTACCGGAAAATAAATCAACAATAGTTGGCGTCCATGGAAGAACCGTTTAAGATCGAGAAGTCAAACAGTTTTGATGTATTGGTACGTATTTATACATAGATTTGTTGAATAAAGTATATAGGTTTTTTAAAACTATTTAAACAAGGTTAAGTCCTGTCCTATGGATGGATTATTTTTTGTTGAAATGTTTCATCTTTTATACCAAAGACTTCAGTCTGAAGGCTTTTAAAAAAGAATCTGTCCAGAGGACCTGACGTAACCTTGACAAATCTACCTGGATTATTGAGCATGCATCAGGATATTTTAATTGAAATTTCACCAGTTTGTCTGGAAAACACAACGGATGAGACTATTTATTTCAGGTGCGCTACAAAATGTGTTTATTAATTATTTCAGATCTAAACTCACTGTCAAATTTACAAGTTTACCACCTTTTTACCTCGGGCCTAATGTAGGTTATCCCATTACGCAAGCGTCCGTATGATTTCCTTTCTGGCTGATTCATTAGTTTACATTGAGTGCGTACCTGCATTTCAGAATTGCTAATCAACATATCTAGAAAACTACTGGAGTAAACACTTTCAAATGGCACCATTTAATGTAGTTTAGCATATGCTGTTTAGTGTTATTTCAATTTGCCACGACTGTCTTTAGTCGTCAACCCAGTGATCGCTTTCTGATAGTTTCATTAAAATGTTTTTAGTGATTCGTGAGATATTTTGCTGACGTACAGACAAATAAAAGCACACATAAATGAGGAAATAACATTGCTCTTTTGACTTTGTCAGCATGCAATAAAAGCCTCTCAAGATTAATCATAAAAATCTAACTCATTTAACTAAAATAAAAAAAAAAACACTTTGAAACTACTCTCCTTTGAGCGCTTGCAGCTCTCTTCCCATGTTGGTAATCTACAATTTAAATTACTTAGTTTACTGTAAATCAATTTAAATATATACATATATATGTTTTTACTCACCAATAAAAGGCTTCCTCTCAGAAAAATCCAAACCAAGCAGCGATGGGGAAACATCTCCATGGTGCACAACCTTCATGCGAGTTTCATTCAGAGAAAGCCATCATTCGGTGCTCCGTGTTTAAATGTCTGCATCTATAATAAACTGTGGGACAAACACTCCAGCAGGGAAGCCTCCCGTGTGATGCTGCCTCCAGTTGCAGCTCACACACTGGGAGGTTTTCACAGATCTCAACAGTTTTCTTCCACTCTTCCTCTCTTTCTTTCACACACTCCACACAACCTCACGTTTCATCTCAAATATTTTCTATAAGTAGCAACAATATCTCACATAGCCCACCTCTGAAGCCCTTTATTTTCTCTCATCCATCACAAAATAACTTTGAGCATCATATATTGTTGATTTATGAGCGCAACTAACAAAAGTTTGAATTAGACTTGGTTTACATTGAGGGAGGGAAGCTGAGATAACAGTGCCATCTTGTGGCCAAAAAAGGAAGGACAGCCTGAGCTCAAACGCCTCAGCCACAAGAGCATCAATCCTCTGGAAACTTAGAACATGAATACATTTTGTTTTCAAGGGGAAAATATGTTGATTTAGTTAAAGCAGCTGATCTGTTTGCCCTGTTGTTTTAGAAAACCTGTTATGTCCAAGGAACCAGTCGTAAGTAAGGCTGTTTGTTGTTTTAAGTGCAGGAAGGTAGATGTTTTATGTGTCCAAGAGACCAAGTGGAAGGGCAGCAAGGTTCACAGCATTGGAGCAGTGTTCAAACAGTTTTACCATGGTGTGGATAGAAAGAGAAATGGAGTAGGGCTGGTCCTGAAGAAGGAGTTGGCAAAGAATGGAGTAGAGTTGAAGACAGTGTCAGATAGGGTGATGTGCCGGAAGGTAGAAGTAGAAGGTCTGATGCTAAACATTGTCATTGGTTATGCTCCACAGGTTGGATGTGATGGGGAGGAGAAAGATACATTTTGGAGAGATCTGGATGAAGTGATAGAGAGGATTCTCAGGGAGGAGAGAGTGGTGATCGGAGCAGACCTGAATGGACATGTTGGTGAAGGAAACAGAGGGGATGAGGAAGTGATAGGTAGGTTTGGTGTCAAGGAAAGAAACCAGGAAGGACAGGTGGTGGTAAATTTTGTCAAGAGAATAGAAATGGCTATAGTCAACACTTATTTCCAAAAGAGCGAGGAACATAGAGTGACCTATAAGAGTAGAGGAAGCTGTACGCAGGTCGACTACATTCTGTGTAGAAGAAGAAACCTGATGGAAATTGGAGACTGTAAGATTGTGGCAGGGGAGAGCGTGGCCAGACAACATCAGATGGTTGTGTGTAGAACGACTGTTGTTGTGAAGAAAAGAAAAAGAGTAAAATCAAAGAGAGAACACCAAATGGTGGAAGCTGAAGAAGGAAGAATGTTGTGAGAATCTAAAACAGTTAAGATTTTTCTACCTGGATTATTGAGCATGCATCAGGAAATGTTGTGAGAAGTTCGGAGAGGAGCTGTTAAAGGTTCTGGATGGTAAGGAAGAGGTTCCAGATGACTGGACTACTACAGCACCAGTAATTAGAGAGACAGGTAGGGAGGTACTTGATGTGTCATCTGGACAGAGAATGGATGATAAGGAAACCTGGTGGTGGAATATTGAAGTGCAGGACGCTGTTCAATGAAATAGGTTAGCCAAGAAGAAATATGACAGTGAGATGACTGAAGAGAGGAGACAGGAATATAAGGAGATGGGACATAGAGCAAAGAGGGAGGTAGCTAAGGCAAAGCAGAAAGCGTATGATGAGTTGTATGGGAGACTGGAGACTAAAGAGAGCGAGAAGGACTTGTACTGATTGGCAAGACAGAGAGGTCAGGCTGGAAAGGATGTGCAGCAGTTTAGGCTTGTTAAAGATAGGAATGGTAATGTTCTAACAAGTGAGGAGAGTGTGACAGGAAGATGGAAGGAGTACTTTGAGGAGCTAATGAATTAATTCAACCTTTATTTATACAAGTTAATCCCATTGAGCCTCGAGGACTCATTTACAGGAAAGACCTGACTTTTTTAACAAAGAGTGATGACAACAGTGGACAACAACAGGCAATCATAAAAGATGCATACAGATTTAATTTTTTTTAACAAGTTAAAATAAAATGGTAACTAAAAGGACAATCAAAAGGAAAAGTAGCGAAAAAACAGCTAGATTATAAGGCGGTGTAGAAAACTAAAAACAGGAACATGTCTGCGTTGGCTCTTGCCAGGAACTTAACAGATGTTTAAAGCCACTTAGAGAGGTCAAGGTCGAAAGTTTCAGATCTTTTTGCAAGATATTCCAGGAAACAGGAAAATTAGGAAAAGGCCCTTTTGCCTAGTTCAGTCCGCACTGAGGGAACACTGCAGGTAATAATGTCCTTGTAGCGCACGCTGTAGCTGCACTCACGCAGAGACATGTAGGAGGAGATGTATGAAGGCAGCAGACCAAGAAGTGATTTAAAGATGAAAATGTACCAGTGAGAGAGTCTGCGTGAAGTTAATGATGTCCAGTTAACCAGTGACCACAGGGTGCAGTGGTGGGTACGATAATCACAGCCAGTTATGAATCTTAGTGCACCATGATAGACAGCATCCAACATCTGCAGGGTTCTTGTAGGAGCGTTCATGTAAATAATGTCACCATAATCATTTGTGGGAAGGAAAGTCACAGATACAAGGCGTTTTCTAGCATTCAGAGTTAGACAGGATTTGTTTCTGAAAAAGAAACCCAGTTTAACTTTCAGTTTCTTTACGAAGTTTTCCACATGGAGCTTTAAAGAGAGATGGGAGTCGACCAAGATACCCAAATATTTATAAGAATCAACAAACTCAATGGGCAGCACGGTGGCGCAACTGGTAGAGCTGCTGCCTCTCAGCGAGCAGGTCCCTGGTTCAAACCCCGATCCAGGGGCCTTTCTGGGTGGAGTTTGCATGTTCTCTCCGTGCATGCGTGGGTTTTCACCGGGTACTCCGGTTTCCTCCCACAGACCAAAAACATGCATGTTAGGCTGATTGGTAACTCTAAATTGTCCCTAGGTGTGAGTGAGAGAGTGAATGGTTGTTTGTCTCGTTTGTCTCTATGTGGCCCTGTGATGGACTTGCGACCCGTCCAGGGTGTACCCCGCCCCTCGCACAGTGATTGCTGGACATGGGCACCAGTGACCCCCGTGACCCAAAATGGAATAAACGGGTAAAGATAATGGATGGATGGATGGAACAAACTCAATAGGGACACCATTTGAGGATGAAATCAGAGGAAGAACTGCTGGGACCGACTTCCTGTTTGAAAAGAGCATCCCTTTGGTTTTATCGGCATTTAGGACAAGGCTCTCAAATATAGTTTCCTAAAGTTGAAAATCTTTACTTACCGTGTTAAAAATTTACTGTTTGATAAACATGCGATCAATCAAGATTTATTATTTACAAGGCCTGTAATTAACTCGATTAATTTTTTTATATTGTGTCCCAGCAATAATTTTAAATAAACTAGCTGTTACAAGCTCTTAGCTGGTAAATTTACAAGTTCATTTACATTTATTTATGCAGGTTAGTCTCATTGAGTCATTGTCATAATTTTTTGGGGGAGTGGTGGCACAGAGGTTAGAGAAGATGGGCCTGTGATCAGAAAGTCGCCGGATCAACTCCCAGTACCGTCAACATCAAAATGTGGGTGGAACAGGTGAAGCACCCACACCTGCCTCCACCCTCATTTGCCCCACTCTGGGCCCCTGCAGGCCCTTAACCCCCACCGTGTGCTCCCAAAAACAGGTCTCTCTTGAAAATGAGTTCTCATGACTCACTGAGACTACCTGTATAAAGGGTAAATGAGAAAATGAAAAGAAAAAGAGGACTCATTTTCAAGAGAGACCTGTTTTAAACAAAACCACAGGTACACACAATAATCATATAAAATGAAAAGTAAATAAAAGAAGTCATTCGTTTCCCCAAGTGGTTTCATAAATGTGCTATATAAATAAACTGAAATGAATTAAAAGAAAAAAGATATACTTAAAATAATTATGTTAGTAGTTAGTAAACAATTACGACGATCCTTAACATATTGACACATGTAATAAATTATATAAAAACAGTAGATAAATGATGCTTTTTATGTACTTTCAATGGGACTGTTGCGTGCTTCCGTGTGTTTAACGCTGTGTCACTTTAAAACTTTCTTTACCTGTGAAAACAGCTTGTTCACCGCAACTACAGGAAGTAGCACAGTCCAGTCTCACTGAAGAACATCAGCTTAAAGCTGGGTTACCGCTGAGCCTTAATTTTATTAATTTTTATTGTTGTAAATTTTTAGTGAGCTGGTGTTTCTCCTTTTTCTAAACTGGGACGGAGCCGCAGTCGGAGCTTGCAGCGAGTGTTATTAGCATGTCAGGAGCCTCGGTGTCGGCTGAAGAGGGTACCCGCCTCGTCAGGACCGAATCCGGGGAAGGACGCACTGCAATGGACCGGTGAGATGTAAACTGTGTGCGGACAGCGTATTTTCTGTGATGTTACAGAAAATGAGCTTATTTAAAGCCACGGAGCAACTTGTTTTTGTCAAGTGTGACATCTTGAACCGCTTCCTGTTTGTTTTGGACACTTCTGGTGTTTGGACCTTCGAGTCTCTGAAATATGTTTCAGATTAATGTCGCATTCTTATTTCACAACAAAACTCGTACAGGTCTCGCGGTTCCAGCATTAATACAGACACTTTGTAATTACACACACTGTCACAGTGACACACACGAAGTTTTAATCAGTTTTAAGCGCATTCTTCACATTTCCTGTCGCCTCCTTTCTACGTCACCAGTGACGTCCCGCTCACCCATTTGACACAGGGTTAAAGGAATAGTTCGGACTTTTTAAAGTGGGGTTTGTGAAAAATTTGTGAGCAAGTAACATCTTACTTGTTGCAGATAAATCTTTGGGGGGAAGGAAGCATGTTTAATCCTGACAAAACTGGTTAACTTTCTGTTAAGAAATCTTTCTGCATCGTAGCAGAGAGATTTTTTCCCCGCACAGACATTTTATACTACGAGAAAAAACCCAATGGTGATCTCATGGAAGCCACGCCTCTTGCAGCACACTATTGTGGGACACCGACAGAAACACAGCGACCTCATGGCAAGGAAATCAGATGGATTCCTGTGACAACACTATGACAATCACAGAGATGGACGTTTTTCTGTTAATGGAAGTGGAGGATAACCATGTCTTATTTTAGGATGTCGGGGGCTGTTTTGACGACCATAGTCCCTCCCGATTTCAGCAGCGCCCACACACAGCATGCCAGCTTTGGCCCAAGAGAGTTTATTGGTAACTCTGTGAATATTGGATCCCAGAAGCTAATATTCACAGTGTGACCACAGCCACACTGGTTCCTGTGGAACTCCCAGGACAGTGTGTCCTCAATAACTACACCCACTTCACATTTCTGGCCAATCACACAAAAGCTGAAGAAAACCCTGGGAGAAAGAAGTTCTTTGCAGACTTTGTGTTGAAAATGGGCTCCTGGAACATCTTGGAGAATAAAATTAAGTCACTTTGGTGTTGCAACTGTGTCAAAGAGCAGATTCTGCTCACTTACACCGATTCAGCTGATAAATCCAGGTTTAGCCTGAACTTAGCCAGAACGAAGTGGATTGCTGTTCCTGTCTTGAAACTCCAATATTCAAAATATCATACAGGTTCATGCAAACACAATATTATCTTGAAATATACATGTTTTTTGTTGCATGTTTTATTTATATATAGACTTGTGCTTATTTTGGAAGATCAAATAGTGGCAGGGGCAGCTAGCTGTAGCACTTCTGCTCTTGCATTTGTGACCAGAATATCTTAATAAATATTTCTGCCTAAATAACAGTTTTAATTTTGACATTTACTGCATTGTAAAGTTTTATAAAAGAGCTTTCATTGAAGTTGCAAAAAAGTGGCCCAACTTGAGTCTCGAGAGGATTTTTGCCATTTTAAAATGACTCACATCTTCACAATTTCACCCTGATTTTAGGGAACACGTTTGACAAACCTTTATGCTGCTGTCAGTACTGGATTATATGTCTGTTTACGTGGCAGTGTTAAAATATGCTGTTGCTTCGGCTATTTGTGTTCGCAAATAAAACAAAGAATTGCTGCGTGTTCAGATTTGCTCTTAGCTTGTTGATCTGTCTATAAATGTTCAAAGAACCAAAGTCATAGCACTCGTCTGCTGAATGTTACGACATGTCAGAGAATATAAAGCAGAAGTAGTTAGCAAAAAACCCCATAAAACTGGTAAGATAATAACAATCACACACAAACTCTTGTGCATAGTCCTTTCTCACTGCCTTCTAAGCTGAAAGTCTCTTTCCACCTACAGACCCGTGACTGTGGAGCAGTATAAGGCAGCCATGGTGCTGAGTGGTGCTGGTGATGCTCTGGGCTACAGAAGCCAGCTGTGGGAGTTCTGCAAGTCTGGACCAGCTATTCATAAGGTTAGTACTGTATTATACACAAGATGTGGGGCTGCAGACAGTTTTAAATGTTATTAGATAAAGTAAAGAAAGTCCTCTCTCCTCTTCTGAGCCTGTAGGAGCTGCAGGAGCTGGGCGGCTTGAAGAACATCAAGGTTCAGCTTCCTAGTTGGCCCGTGAGCGACGACACTGTTCTGCATCTGGCAACAGCTGAAGGGCTGGCAACTGGTGAGAAAATCCTCTGGAAAACATCTCCAGTTTGTGTCTGTGTTTTGCTCTGGATGAGGATTTGATTGGATGAATCAGACCTCATCAGGACACAGCCTCACTCCGTCCTCTTCAGAAACACCAGCTAAAGGTTAAATCTAATTTCCAGTCTTGTCTTGATTTGCTGCTCTAATAGAGCTTCGTACAAAAGCAGGAAATTCAACTTGACCTTTGCTGTGAGAAGGCAAAGACTGGGTTTGTGCACAAATTGGTTACATCTTTAAAGTCTGAACAAAGTGCTGAATTCCTCACAGATAAAACAGACGAGGATCTCCTTCATGAGGTGGCTGCTCGTTACGTGGAGGGGATGAAAGACATGGATGGGAGGCAACCAGGTCTAACAACCTGTAGGGGTAGGCTTGCACTGGGTATTTATTTCACATCTGCTGTTTGCAAAAGTAGAAATATTAATGTAGTTTACTCTCAGCTGTTTTCCAACTGAGACCTGGATTGAAAGGGGGTTACAGAGTGCCATATAACCCCAGGGGGGCAGGCTGTGGAGCAGCCATGAGGTCCATGTGCATCGGCCTGAGGTGAGACACACTTTATCTATGAGCTGAACTTTTAATCTTATCATCAACACTTAAATATTACCCGCTATTTAATTAAAATAATAACAAAAGCTCCAAAATATTTATGTATTTTTATTAGGTTTCTCCAGCACTTCTGCAGAACTGATTGTTTTTTTCTACTCCAGGTATCCGAGTCCGGCCCAGCTGTCGTCACTTGTGGCCGTTGCCGTGGAGACGGGCAGGATGACCCATAATCACCCCACTGGTTTCCTGGGAGCCGTAGCCTCGGCTCTTTTCGCTTCATACGCCGCCCAGCGCAGGCCCATCACCACCTGGGGTCTGGGCCTGATCAACGAGGCCTGTCCCATAGCGAGGAAGTTCGTTCAGGATCGGGGCTTCGCTGTGGAGGAGACGGAGAGAGACTGGAGCTACTTCTGTGACAAGTGGCAGTGGTATGAAGAGCTGAAGTCAGGTCCATAGAGTTGGTTGATGGACTGATTTTTTTCTTGTCTAGCACTTCAGATTTACAAAGTTCATTATGGAAAAAATAACTTAAGTTTTATAGTTCTAAAAACTAAAAAGTGGTTCATACATTTGTATTCACCACTTTTTGCTTTAAACTAGCAAACATTACGCTAAAACAAACATACATTATCTTTACCCGCTTCTTCCTGTTCGAGTCGCGGGGGTCACTGGTGCCCATGTCCAGCTATCACTATGCGAGAGACGGGGGACACCCTGGACAGGTCTCCAATCCATCACAGGGACACATGGAGACAAACTAGACAACCATTCACTCTCTCACTCACAGCTAGAGACAATTTAGAGTTAACAATCAACCTAACATATGATGCATGTTTTTGGTCTGTGGGAGCAAACCGAGTACCCGGACAAAACCTACGCATGCACGGAAACAAACGTATCTAGAGAAATTGCATTTCCTGCGAAAATGCAGTGTGAATGCTTATTGCTGAATAACAGTTGAAATGAGCTAAAATCATGCTGAAATGTAGCTGAAATGGAAGAACAAGACCAAGTTAGCAGAAGAAAGCAGAAAGAACACATTTGCTGAATTATGTTTAAATAAGCAGAAATGAACACAAAAAAAAGGAAATTAGCTAAAAAAGTTGATTTTTTTTTCTTCCATTCATTCATTCAACCTTTATTTAGACAGGTTAATCCCATTGAGCCTTGGGGACTCATATACAAGAGAAACCTGATTTTTAACAGAGTGATGACAACAGTGGACAACAACGACAGCAATAGACAATCATAAAAGAGACATACAAATTTATTATTATTATTTTTTTTTACAAATTAAAATTAAATGGCAACCAAAAGGACAGTCAAAAGGAAAAGTTGAAAAACAGCTAGGTTGTAAGGCGAATGTAGAAAACTAAAAACAGGAACATGTCTGCATTGGTCCCTGCCAGGAGTCCAACAGATTCTTAAAGCCACTTAGAGAGGTCAAAGTCGAGAGCTTCAGATCTTTTTGCAAGATATTCCAGGGAACAGGAGCTGAGTAGGAGAAGGCCCTTTTGCCAAGTTCAGTCCTCACTGAGGGAACACTGCAGGTAATAATGTCCTGAGAGCACACGCTGTAGCTGCACTCATGCAGAGACATGTAGGAGGAGATGTATGAAGGCAGCAGACCAAGAAGTGATTTAAAGATGAAAATGTACCAGTGAGAGAGTCTGCATGAAGTTAATGATGTCCAGTTAACCAGTGAATACAGGGTGCAGTGGTGGGTACAGTAGTTATAGCCAGTTATGAATCTTAGTGCACCATGATAGAGAGCATCCAACATCTGCAGGGTTCTTGTAGGAGCGTTCATGTAAATAATGTCACCATAATCAATGGAGGGAAGGAAAGTCACAGATACAAGGCGTTTTCTAGCATTCAGAGTTAGACAGGATCTGTTTCTGAAAAAGAAACCCAGTTTCACTTTCAGTTTCTTTACTAGGTTTTCCATGTGAAGCTTAAAAGAGAGATGCGAGTTGACCAAGATGCCCAAATATTTGTAGGAATCGACAAACTCAATAGAGACACCAATTGAGGATAAAGTCAGAGGAAGAACTGCTGGGACTGAGTTCCTGTTTGAAAAAAGCATCCCTTTGGTTTTATTGTCGTTAGGACAAGTTTGAGACGGAACAAATCTGACTGGATGATGTCAAAGGCGGATTGCAAAAGCTGGAGAGCTTTAGCAACTGTTTTAGCTCGACTGTAAGCAACTGTGTCATCAGCATAGTGGTTAAAGCAGTCGTCCTCCAATGCCAGAGTTTGGGGTTCGAATCCACCAGCAGTCACATGCTGAAGTGTCCCTGGGCAAGACACTGAACCCCTCATTGCCTCCAAAGTGTGTTCCATTGGTGTATGAATGGGATAAAGCTCTGATTAGTCTCTTTAGAATGATTTGTTCAATTATCTTTGTAGAGATCTAGTAGAGTGATGTGTGAATGGGTAAATGAAGCACAGATTGTAGTGTAAAGCACTTTGAGTATCTTGATCAGATAGAAAGGCGCTATATAAGTACAGTCCATTTACCATAGCATAGAAATGTAAGGATGCATCAAGGACCTACATTACCCATGTAGATTGTAAAGAGGATGGGTCCTAAGACTGAGCCTTGTGGTACACCATTGTTGACTGTTAAGTAACTGGAGGAAGTACCATTATGTTGAACGTATTGCCTACGATCTGAAAGATAGAGAACCAACCAATGGTATGATCTGAGAAACTAATTTCCGAGAGCTTATGACACAAGATGTTATGATCCACAGTGTCAAAAGCTTCAGACAGGTCTAAGAAAAGTGCAGCACAATAATCCTTCGCATCCAGTGCTTCAACAACGTCATTAAGAACCTTCATTGAAGCAGTCGTTGTGCTGTGTTGATTCCTGAAACCAGATTGATGGAGAGGTAAGATGTTAAATGAGTCCAGATACTTTTTGATTTGAGTTTATCGGTTTTTCTACAACCTTGGCTAACATGCAAAGTTTAGAGTTTGGTCGATAGTTGATTAGCAAGAAAAAACATCTAAATAGTGGCAGAAATTGCTGAAACTTGCAGAAATGAGCTGTAAGGTGCATAGCAAGCTGAAATTAGCTGAAAAAATTTAGAAAAGGCACAAAAATATTGTATTTCTAACATTTATTTAGATGAATTATTTGTTGGGGCCAATGGTTTTTGTAGTTTTTGCTTTTGGAAAGGTGTCCCCTCACCCTGACCATAACCTTAACCACATTTTGTGCTCGTTAAAATATTTGAACATGAAACGATCCTGTGTCTGCAGGTATCTGGACCAGAGGGGCATCTCTAACGGAGAAGGACCAGTGGTTTGGCCCTCTGCCTACGGTCCAGCTGAAAGAGACAAGATCTACAAGACCTTTAGTCTGTCTGGTTGGGCAGGGGCCTGCGGACACGATGCTCCGATGATCGCGCTGGATGCCCTGCTGGGGGCTGGCTCTGACTGGGAGGAACTGATGAGCAGAGCTGCCTTCCATGGAGGTCAGTGGTTTCACAGGAGTTCACAGTCAGAACTTTACGGGGCCGGTCTGGTACCTGAAAGGAGAAGTTGATGCAGTTACTGTGTGCAGACCCTGATTTACACAAACTCATCATCATTACGTGGTTCCTATTATCAGGTGCTTTCAGTCTACAGGAGGTGTTAGTAACAGCTTTTATAAAGCAGCTGTTTGCAGTTTTTGTAACTATCTTTTTGTAGCTTCTGCTTCAGAGTAGGACTCAGCTCAACAGGTACCCATGAGGGACACAAAGGAGTGACTGCTCCTACCCTTTTAAAAGATGCATTCGTTAATATTCTCAATGTGCTATTAAATATGTTTTTGCTCATTTTTACCAAAGTGAAACACAAAAGAGTTGAAGTCCGGTCTTCATTGAGTCAATGTGCAACAGAAGAAATCAGTGGCTGCAGAAAAACATACGGAACAACTCATGCAGGATTACAAAACATCAGCAGCGAGAGTGTCGGCTATAAAGTCAATTATAGTTTAATGAATTCAGTCACGAGGCGACATTAGTTAATTTTTCTTTACAGTGGCACCGACAGAAACTATAAGAAACTATGAGATATATACTGAAATGTTTCTTTAGACATTCAGACATCCGTTTATTTGATCAGTTGATCCTAAATAAAAGTCAGAGGAACAATTTTCCATCGGTCGTTATCTCCCGTCTTGAAAAGAATAGAGAGCGAAGTGTGAAGCTTGGAAAAACAAACGTGATTTAAACCTAATGTTGCACACAGTTGTGTTTATGCAGTAATGTAGAGCTCGTGGGACATGACACCCCTGTTCATTTACTCCTAACTATTACATTCACTCAAAAAGAAACTATGCACTAAAGATAAATTAATAGTGTGAATGTTTTTGAAGCACTCACACTATTGTGATCCATTTTTCTTCTGTACGTTTTTCTGCATCTTTCTCATTCCACAGTTTTTGTGCTATTTCAACAAATTGTATATCAAAACGTTCAGCTCATTCAGGAGAAGGGTGCAACTTTAGCTTTTTGAAATATTTAGCCTTTTCTGTCTTTTTTTTTTTTTTTTCTCATAAAATGAATTGAGCTCCTTTTCCATCCTTGAGATCTTTAGATCTGTTTACAAACTTTTACTGCTCCTTTTGCATTTTGTTCTGGTTCAGCTTCTTTCAGCTTCCTTGTGCAAATTTAAACTTTTTAAAGCTAATTTCAGATGTTTTTCAGCTGTTTGTGCTCCATTTGGATTCTTTCAGCTATCTACAACATTTTTGTGCTTCTTCTAACTTATTTCTGCTGATTTCAGCTTGTTATGCTCCTGGCAGCTTATTTATGCAAGTTTCAGCTTTTTCTGCTATTTCAGCTACTATTTAGCTGTTTTTATGCAAATTTAAGCTTTTTTTTGGCTAATTCCATATTTTTTGCACACCAACTTTTCAGCCTAATTGAGCAAAGAAATTTTTAGATAATATCCACTTTTTTCAGCTTTTTTCCTCATAGTTTTGTCTTTTTTCTGTTCTTTCAGCTATTATTTAGCTATTTTGATGCTAATTTTAGCTTTATCAGCTGATTTCACTTTTATTTTTAAGCTCATTTCAGTTCTTTTCACTTCCTTCTGGTAGTTTAGGCTTCTTTTTGCCATTTCAGCTACATTTCAGTAAGTGTTGAGCAAATTTCTTACTTTTTTGTTCTGCTTTTTTAAACCTAATTCAGCCAATATGTGTGCTTTCTGCTTTCTTCTGCTAATTTAGGCTTGTTCTTCAATTTCAGCTACATTTCAGCCTGTTTTTGGCTAATTTCAGCTGTCTTTCAGCAGTTCTTTAGCAGTAAACATTCATAATGCTTTCTGTAGTTTATAATACAGTTTGCTCTTTTCTCAGTCTGTGCTCATTTCTCCTTCATAGATGCTTTTAGCACCTTAGTGCTCCTTCTTTCCAGCTCTAATAGTTTAGTTTGAACAAAACGTCTTGATAGTTTTCTTCAAGATCTTTTTATTGTTAGGTGACACAAATTTAATATGACAGCATTAAAATACAAACATCACTGTTTATTGTTTCTGTCCGTATGGTTCTATTCAGGCGACAGTGACAGCACAGCAGTGATTGCCTGCTGCTGCTGGGGTCTCCTCTACGGCACCGAGGGGGTCCCTGAAGGCAACTATAGCAACTTGGAGTACCGATACCGACTGGAGCGTTGTGCCGAGCAGCTCTACGCTCTGTCACATTAACAAGGCAGCAATGTATGTTTGTAGCTGCTTGAAGCTGCAGCAGCCGCGACTTTCCTGCACGTTCACAGACGGCCTTCATCTTCGGCGGCCTTCATCTTCGGCTGAACGGCAGACGAGACCAGGAGGAGGGACTCTTCCTCCATCACATGCAGATCTCACACAGAATACTTCAAATCTTTACACTCCTGCTTCTCAAACAAAGAATAAGCACTGTCACCTTAAATACGTACATTTATTATCCTTATACTATCGGTAATTTTTATTTTTGTTGGCATCACTGAATCTATTTGCACTTTTTTAAATTATAGAAAAGTTTGGAATTAAAACATATTTTTCCCTTTGGGTTACCTCACAGTTTTGCCCCGTGTGGCGTCTGTGTGCAAATATTTAACATCTTGTAAAGCACTTTATGAGATTAAATGAATGGTATGTTAAGTGCAGAGCATTTATCAATCCTTGTGCTGCAAATAAAACTTGCTTGTCACAATTTAAGCCAACCTGCAAATCAAATGCTGCTTTTTATAAAGCCATAATAAATGTATTTCTTTTCTAGAAGTGTCATTTCTTGCTACGTTTTTGTGTACAGTCATATTTGTAACAGTAAAAACAAGAAGTCTTTGATACAGATATAATTTTTGTGATTTTTGCCACTTTCTGTCTGTCCTATAATTTCAGTGTGGCTTTAGGTTTTGGTGTCCCACCCAACAATTAGTCATGGCCTCTGTCTGACCACCTTTTGAAAAACTTTCTGAGTTGTCCCTGATCCTCAGCATCATTGTTCCAGCTTCTTGAATTTAAAAGAACTCGCTGCAAAGTTGTGAAAACTGGTCAAACAAACAAAAAAAAAATCACCACAAAGAAACGAACCAGCACAATATTTTTCTCATATCTAAAATGGTCTATCTACATTATGTAATTTTTTACTTACAGAAACAGCTGAAATGTTTGAATGTTGAGCTCTTGATGGCTCTCCACTGCCCGGTTTGAGCAGCAAATTCACTTTTGTGTTTCCACCTGAACATCATCTTCTCAACTCTATTTATCTGATATGCCATATTCATATTACATTTGGCTAAACAGACTACAGCCAGCTCATTGTAGGTCAATCGAATGACTCAAGGACAGATTCAGCCGAGTGCTTTGTTTACACTGATGTGCACCCGCATTCCAGAACTGAAAATCTGTATAGCTGGAAAATTACAGGAGTAAACGCCTTTAAACTGCACCAGTTAATATAGTTTATGATAACATAAACCGTTTTTATTTAGCTTCATAATTTGTCAGAAGACCAAATATTTAAATAGGGAGGACGTTAGCTTTGTGAACTGGTGTCAACTCCATCCACCCATTTATTTTCTTGACCCACTTTTTCCATTCAGGGTCAAGGAGCTGGTGTTTATCTCCAGCAGTCACTGTTTGAGAGGACATGTCACAAGTCCATCACAGGACCTGCACAAATCATAGTATGATAAAAATGGGACAAATCACACCGCCAGACGACTCTACAGTTCCCACCACACAGAGGCGCAGTTCCTCCACAGAGCGCCACCATTAGCTCCATAACAGGCTTGCTGCTGGCAGGTGGTGGATAATGATGCCAGACAGTGACTCCCTGTGGCTGATCCACATGGTCAGTCGTCGCCACCAGAAGACAGTCATCAAAAGAGAAGTGCAGTTCGAGGAAGCGGGTTATGATGAGGGCGTCAGGGCTGTGAGGCAGTTTGTCACGTGAAATGTCAGGGGGCCCGTAAAGGCCGAGGACGAGCAGAGCCTGAGAGCCGCAGTGGAGAAATAAGAGCAAACGGTCCATCTGCAGATGTGTGTATTTGGACTAGGATCACTAGTTTAAGACTAAATCACTGTAGTTTACATGATTTACTGAGCTGTGCAGTGTCTTTGAGTACTTCAGGGAGGAAATGACATTTATTTTTTTTCCTGAGAGTCTCGTTAGTTCAGAAGACGGATTGATAAGGAGCACTGGTGATGTCATTTTATCTTTTCCTGCTTTGCCTTTTAAAACATGCGCTGATTGCTTTGGGTTAAAGTGGAAATAGGGAAGGTTTGTATTAATAATATTACCCCATGAAAATGTAAGCTAGTGCTATTCAACTGGTGGCTCGAGGGCCAAATCAGGCCCATGGGTGAGCACAGTTCGGCCCACGGGTTGGATGGGTGGCATTGGGGACATTTTACTTGTGTTAAGTTTTTCTCAGTTGTCTCGAAGTGAATGTTTGTGTGTGTGTGTGTGCCTCTATGGCTGCAGCTGGTAATGTTTACTGGTTCATGTCTATGAATGAACATTTCAAGCATCAGTCAAAAATTGCATTATGAATATGGGAAAAAAAAGTATAATACTGTATTTTCCGCCCTATAAGTCGCAGTTTTTTGCATAATTTACATGCCCTGCAACTTCTAGGTTGAAGCAACGTATGTATGTATTTTTCCCCATATTTATAAACCAATTTTTGGCTGAGCTATGACTTTTCATTCATTCTGACTGAAAAAAACAAATTGAGCAGTATCATTTTCAGCCACTAGACGGCAGCAGAATAGTAGTAGCGGTATGGCGTGCCGTTGAATCATGTAATAGGTAAACGTTGCTATGATGACAAATTCAAAACCGTTCAAGACAAAAACAACTGGACTTTTTTTTTTTTTTACTATATTTTACTTTACTTTTTTATACTTTTTTAATTTGCGCATTAATGTTTTTTTCTTGAACTTTTTAGAATTTACCATGTCGTGAATTAATGAGAATCTTCACCAGCTATTAATGACACAATCGGCTTACTAATATCTCCCCAACTTCATTCTGCTTGCTGCTTGGACAGACCATCAAACTGGCTGCACCACCCCAGCGAAATGCCGCTAATTTGACCATTAAAGTGTATTTATTAAGCAAACGTTAGACTGAAACACACCTTTACTATAATTTCAAGCAAACAAATAATTGTTTTTAAGTGTTAATCTTTTAAAATTCTTGTTAAAGTCCTCCTGTGCACGCTCCCGTGGCTGCCATTTGGCAGCCCATCGATTTTTGGCACAACACAGGACCCACATTTCCGTGTCGTCAGCTGTGATGCATAATAGATGCGACGTATAGCGACATATTTATGGATTTTTCCATTTTATTAGACAAATATGGACTGATGCGACTTATAGGGCGGAGTGACAAGTACGGCAGAAAATAGTCGCTTCGGTGTATAAGTTGCAGGACTTGCAAATTTATGCAAAAAGGTGCAACTTATATGCCGGAAAATACGGTAATGACAATAACTGCTGGATGTCCGGCCCCTGAACTCTTGGCTTTCAGTAACTCCCCCCCCCCGAGCAATTTAGCTGAATATCCCTGATGTAAGCCTTTGTTCTGTCTTCTATTTGCTTATTATTAAAGTTCCCATTCAATCAGTGCTTCATCCCGTCATCTCCCATCATGTTAGCGCCCACTGCCAGCAGGCAAAGCTGGACAATAAGGTTTTTGCGTGTGTTTGTCTGCTACCAGATGATTTCATCAACCACTGGACACATTTTAATGAAACCTGCAGAAAGTAATCGTGCAGCTGATTAGCGTTTGGAGTCGACCCAATTCAAATTGATTCATGTGGCTGAAATGTAAACAACATGTTTTCTCACTCCTGGTGCAGCTTTGGAGACAGCTGGGTAAGAATAATAAAGAAGCCCATTATGATGGTGCACTGTGGCCAAACCAAATGGCATCAAGAGATCTCCACTCCGTGCAGCTAATTTACAATTTGGAGGCACTTTCTCCTCGTGTGACTGGTGTTTGTAAAGTGAGCCCTCCTGGCGCAGCTGAAACCCACCGAGCAGCGCTGCCGCTCCACACGGCCTGTTGGGTTTGTTCTGCAGGGCGACAGGCAGAAGACGCAGTCAGCTCGACTAAAGCTGACAAACTGGCTCCCAGGTTTCCTCTTAGGGATGAAAAATGGAACAGAGTGGAAGTGGCTGGGTGCATGTTGGGGTGAAGTGTTGGCAGGGTTGGTTCGTGTGAAAAGAGGAGGGGAGATACAACTTGTACAGATTTTAATGCATTAAATGAAAGATATAAATAATGTTAGTCTTCAACAGCCTAAATAAAATCCACCTATAGTTTTTGTTCTGATTATATAACTTTGCTCAATGTGAACCGGTAAGATCTTGCTGGGGTGTTTCACAGATTTAATCCCTAATGTGCCTTTCGGACAAAAGTTGCTCGACTTGTTTGAGGAGCAGTGAGTTTAAGTTTGAAGGGGTTCAATTTCAGCAACACCAACTGCTATACACTTGTATTGTCAAAATGAGTGAGACGGTAGAAACCTCTGGGTCTCTTTATGCCGTTCTGCCTTTAGTCCAACGTGTCGACACCGCCTGTCGATCTGCTTTAGTCAGGAATGACATTAATGGTGAGTGTTGGCTCCCACGACAGTTACAGGGATGAAGTTTCCATCAGAGTATCCTTTGGATCAACCATCGCCTCTCCTCCTCTGAGATCTCCCCCCACACTAAACGCCCTCACCCACACCCGAACTGCGGAGGGCCCCGATACCCAAGTGCTATTAGAGGTCCCAGTGTTGCCTAGCAACTGGCTGGTGATGATTTAACACTGTTTACGGGTTGTTGTTGTTGTTGTGTTTATGTATATTGGAGGCAGTGCTTAATTTGTAAACTGATCGATGCTGGAACATAAACAGTGGGCGGCTGGTGGGGATGGGTGGGGGGGAGCAGGGCAAGTGGAGGGAGCTTGTAGGTTCTCCTCCCCCTTAAATTTCTGAATAGATTTAATTTCCTGTATTTTGGTGTAACCTATTTTAATGGGTTGTTAAACATCTACGTTTACCTACATTTGTAAACGCTTGATTAAATTACTATTTTAGAGAGCAGCAACAGGTTGTGTGTGAATAGAGCAGCTCCGACTATGTCGTGTCCTCCCCCCCCCCCCCACACACACACACACTACATGTTCCTGAGTCAAACTGTTCTCCGCTGAATTCATTCCTTGTTGCTCCTGCTGCTCCAACCTCAATTATGACTGCCCTCTTGGTTGTCCAACTAAGGACCATCCATCCATCCATCCATCCATCCATCCATCCATCCATCCATCCATCCATCCATCCATCCATCCATCCATCCATCCATCCATCCATCCATTTATTTAATGAAAGTAACTTGGACGGTCTTTTCAACATTTTGATCGTTGTTATTTTGACAAATTAGCATTGTTTTGATACGTGATTAATGTGAATAATACAC